GGAATGCCACTTTCACTAATGGAACAGACTGTGTTTGATGCCAGGTCTCGTGAAGACCAGTATATACCATATGGAACCAGAGCGAGCTCGTTTTTCATGTTTCTTTTGTTGTAATATCAAATTCTCCTTCTGCAGAGCAAAAAGTCTATAGAAATCTGCATGCATACTGGCAGGAGAAGTGCCATCAAGCAGCACATCTGAACAGTGCTTAAAGCCTCATATTTTACAGGCTGTCATGTCTTGAATGAGGCTGGAGTGAAATGTTGCATGCAGGTGACAAAGGGAGAATTAGGTGCTGAATATGACCCCATTTCTTAGAATGGGGCAGATTACATGGAGCATTTTCATGTGCAAGATGCAGTGCTTTCAGATTAAGATGTACTATGAGCTGGACGAATAATCCTGGATAGCCACTAAACTTTGGAAGACTTGGACCTGAATTTTACTTGTGCCCATAATTTGCTTCCTACTGAAAATACTGTTCCTGTAAAAAGAGGTGAACGACAAGATTTACCACAGTTGGAGAAGGAATCCTCAGCTTTCCAGTTCTGTCCTACATGAAACCACAACTCAAAGCTGCACAAAAAAAAATACCTCCAATTCATCTGTAGGCACTGAATATTATTGCAACTCTTCTCCCCCAAAGCTTCAGTTTTTGGTACATTTTGAGAAACATTTTGTTATCTGACAATGAGTTACATAAAACCTTAAGTATTTTGGCTGCATCCTTTCTGTTAATATGTGCTTATTTTCCTTTTTTTTTTTTTTAATTGTCACTACGCACTTACACATGAGGACCTTTCTGTTGGAGAAGATACATGCTACAGATCTCTTCACGCAGAGGTGTAACCTGTGCTCACTTTCTTGACAGCAGTAGTGGTTTTGTCCCTTTTTTTTTTTTATTTTTATTTAAACTGGTGGAACTACCTCCACTTTTCCAGCAACAATAAAACCCATTAAAGGAGGTTTTCACTTCCAAGCATGGATATTTTACTATCAGAATATTCTTTTTTTATATATGTAGAAAGTTATAGACGGTAACATCTTTGAGGTACTCTTCTAACAATTCTGTAGTCAGCCTGTGACTTTACAGAATACTTTATACCTTCCTGGTGGGCATCATGAATCCTATAGTTAAGCCATACAGTACATAACAGCAGAGCATACTTAAAGGGCTATTTATAAGGGAAAG